GTTGGCCAAATGTCATTGAAAAGGCATCCTCGCCACTAGATCCTCAGCTTCATCCAGTAGCGAGAATTCTGTGCAAATGGCATGCTGTAAAAGAGGAAATGAAATGATCACGGCACCTGTGAGTACCCCCATCTGTGGATTTACACACTGTATGGTTAAACACTTTTTCCATGTGTGATAAAACTCCAGGCGATACTCTTTAGAAAATCTGGATGGACTGCATCAATTTATATTACATCAGTGCCTGATGAGGCAACCTGTACCTTATGAACTTGTTTCACATCCACAGCCGCGGCTACAAAGAAACAACTTTCTATCCATTTATTTTACCCTCCTTGTGGATGAAAAGACTTCTGAATCCAGCAGAGAAGTTTAAGCTATCAAGCTGCCATCCCATAGCTCATTGATTTTTCCATATCTCGTTCTGAGACACATACCACATAATTGTCCTCTAGCGTTGTTTTGCTTGTCGAAAGTATGCATGTTTTTTTGGAATGAGTGATTTGGTTAATTGACCAATTTTAATAGGGTGTAGTCAGGGCCGGTGCAAGGATTTTTGCCAACTCAGGTGAAGGTGCATTTTGCCGCCCCCCCCGGCACGCATGCGCGCACACACACACACACACACACACCATACATTATATCTGTGCTCCATTAAGCTTTAATGGTTATGAAGCTTAAAGTGATCGTTTAACTTATTTATTTATATTAGCTATAGAGGAACAACAAATCACAGCAATAATATATTAACCAGCCTGTATAATGTATTATTGCTGGGATTTGTTGTTCCTCTATAGCTGCTGGTGTTCAGCATTGTGCCGCTGTATTATACAATGCACAATACAATACACCATACAATACACAATACAATACACTTTACACAATATATTATACAATGCACAATACAATACTGTATTGTGCATTGTATTGTGCATTGTATATTGTATTGTGTATTGTCAATACACAATACAATGCACAATACAAAATAATACAATACAATGCAGCATACCACGTGCACATTACATTACATCTTTGTTACATTACATACTGCCCCCACTTCAGCCAGCTCCCGATCCCCATTCCCGATACGAGTCCGATGTGTCTGGTCTGGGGTGGGTCACCATGACCAGAGCCACCCCTGTCCGCATGTCCCTGCACATCCAGGGGCCACTAGCAGCTGGGGACAGATGACTTGTCCTGGATGCAATCTGTCTGTGTCTGCTCTCTGGCGCCGTAAGGCAAGTGCCCATGTTGCCTTGCGCTAGCGCCGGCCCTGGGTGTAGTGGTGGTAGCCAGTAGGTGTGTGTTTTTTGGTGACTCATCATTTTTGAATGCATTGAATAAAACTTTATATTTTTGTACCGTACCAGGCATTCCGATCCTCATTGCACTGCCTTTTGATTTGATCTTCTTTTGGTCATTTCATTTCCTGTTTTACAGTTGTCCACAGTAGAGGATTGTTTTGATAGCCTATGGTCGATAATACCGTTTGCACTTAGGGTGAACTAAATTTTGGGTTTGGACTCTGGGTATTACACCCCCTTTTCTATAGCAAATGGCATTCTGCCAGCGTTTTGTTTCAGTAGATGATTAATAAGTCATACCCTTAATGTTATAAGCTTATTCACCAAATTCTCTCTTGAAAAAGAAACTCCATGGCAGTTAAGCCATTAGAAACTACCAGCAACCTCTCTGTAAGGGTCCAAACCGCTTCTAGTCCTCATCAGACATTAACAGTTAAAAGCAGGTGCATGCTCACTCTAATGACCCCTACAGTATTGTGTAAGAGTGAAGCAAGGGGTATTACTCACCTTGATAATTAGCCACTTTCTATGCCCCCACACACTTCTTTGCCCACCCCCAGCAGCTAGGAAGCTGTAATGACTTGTGGACCGTCTCCCTTTTTTTTGCAAAGTGCTGCGCAAACTGTTGGTGCTATATAAATCATGTATAATAATAATGGTATGTGTAGTACCAGAGCAGTGCTGCTACCCCCACCCACAGCCCGACCAGAAACCAGCTTCTGGAGTGGTCACATAACTGCCTCTTCAGCAGCAGAATTAAGGTACTTGGAGGACATGAAAATATATCTAAAAAAAATCATTGCACATTGACCAGGGATGGGGGCACTGGGAGCATGGTAATGAGCAATTTAAAGAGCTATTGTTATCTGGATTCTAACTTGCAATAGTTGACTCCATTGATATATTGGGCTGCAAATAAATGCATTTATACATATAAAAACGTATGTCTAATTATCTGTAGATAGACTTAATCTATATTTTTGTTCATTCACCAATATGTTCCTTCCGCAGATCTGAATATCACAGCAGCTGTTCTCTCTCTGTTGAGTATAACTCTGATGGTAATGGGTTCAATCTGCATAACAATGGTTCTGAGCAAAGGTGTGGAATTCCTCCTAAAGCCTGCGTCATTCTTCTTCATTCTTTCTGGTAAGAGAAATGTATATACTGTTCTTTGCTCACAGTATTTCAAAAGGAGGAGGGGTGTCCCAATACTTCACCAAAAATCTGATATTTCACTTCTTGGTAGACTGTGCTGGGATGAGTCAAACACTGATTAACCAATGGTATTATCGTTTTTTGAGGTTTCGCGCGCGCACGCAATTTTAAGGCTTGACATGTTTGGTGTCTTTTTACCCGACGTGACCCCGTCTTTTATATTTTACCAAAAAAATGGGTAATAATAAATGTTTTATCATTTAATATAGGGAAACTGTTTTTTTTAAAAAAAATTCGGTAATTTTTCCTTAATATAGTAAAAAATAAAAACCCCAGTGGTAAAAAAAATACCACCAAAAGAAAGCTCTATCTGTCCCCAAAAAAGGGTATACAATTCATTTCAGTACAGTGTTGCATGACGGAATAAATGTCAGTCAAAGTACTGCAGCGCTGAATACTGAAAAATGGCCTGGATGGGAAGGGGGTTTAACACCGCGGGTGTCAACTTCTTTAATTATGCCTCTGGAGGTATAAAGCATGAAAATGAATTTCTCATCTCTACCCCTTCTAAATGCATATCTTAGAGTCTCATTCCTTCTCATTCCTTCTTCATTCCTTCTTCTTCTACTACAGGTGGAATCTCAATCTACCTGTTGCATTCTGTGCTCTGTATAACAAAACATTGATTTAGGTGATTGAGATTTATACTTTAACCTAGCTGAAAATTAGGTCTCACCCCTAAGAACTAATTTACACCGCAACACATGTGAAACGTTTGTGTGGTTCCATATGTTTGCATTATGGTTTTTAAGGAGCCTATCTTAACTGAGTTGAATGGTAAAAAAAGGAAAATGCAGCGTTTTGGTTTTTTTTTTCTTATGCACCTGGACATTTTCATAAATATTAGAGAAAAAACTATGTAATCACTCAGTAATAATCTTCTGTTTTTATATTAAGATTTCCCCCTCATTGTATATGCACTACATCTGAACATTGACCAAGTCAATAAGAAAAGTCATGGCAGGTCATTGATTTGTGGTGATTAGAATGAAGGCATGCAGATCTCTCATCTCCTATTGTGCTTTTGTCCTCTCTGTGGTTAGTGTGCCTTTGCCTACAAACAAATAAATCCCAAAGAGCCTCATGTGGAATAAATTGTACAATGAATAGCACCTGGTATATGAGGTAGCTTTAAGCTGAACTCTGTGGCTATTGTGAAAAATCTTTTAATGAAAGATTTTGTGCCCAGAGAATATAAATCCACTTTGTGTGCACCAAATGCCTTTACAAACACAGTCTTTACCATGTAAAAGTAGCAATGACATCACTGTGCTGCACATGGCCTTTGCAGAGAGCAGAGTTGTGGGAGGACCCAGCAGGTCTCATCCACTACAGGCTGTCTACAGAAAACTACAGAAGGGGCAGATACAAGACCAGTCACTTTGTACAAGTATAAGCAGTGACTGGTCTTTATTATAGGAAGCTGCAGCACTAGTGGGCTTGTTCTGGGCTGCTCCTATTTCAGGGTTTTTGTCCTCCAGCGGTTTTTCTTGGTGTCCATGCTGCAGATTTGGTGCAAAAGCTGAATGCCAGGGAATCATCTAAATACTAGATACAATATTTACATTATATGTGAACTCTCTTATATGCCAAATGAATAGTAATTCTGTCAGGTTAATCTGTAATTCATACACTTCTTCCTGACAATTAGTAGGGGACACCACTTTCCCTGTTAGCGTGAAAGAGATTACAATCAAAGTGGAATAGGATTGTTCCCTGTAAAGAAGATAATCCTTACCTCTCCAACTGCTTGTGCCAGCAAACACTGCATAAGCACTCTTTAGAAACGGACACTTTGGGAAGTGATCCCCTGGTCTCCCACTGCACTAAGTGGTCACTCCTGTCAACCCAAATGCCCAAGCTGTGACCTGTAGTGATGTAGGATTCATTGAAGAAACCACTGAAAACAGAAGGGATCTAGGATTCTGGCACCCCAGGAAGTGCCATTTTTTAGAGAGGCTTTGGGTGGAGATTTCTCTGCATTACAGCCGCATTTATTGGTGCATGCAGCTGGAGTATACAATATTGGTGGAATGGGGAACCCCCCCCCCATCGGGCTATCATATTCTGACAGCATGTCTTGGTCAAACTCTACACAGTCCACACTAATAATGCATCTGATGCATTTTCTGAAAGTCCTCCTAATTTTCTTCTTTTTTTCCCCTCAGGTCTGTTTGTCATGATCACCATGGTAGTATTTCGTCAGGCTGTCATTTGGCTCATGGCAAGTAACCAGAACGTAAAGTTAGAATATGAATACTCGTGGTCTTCAGCATGCGCTGCAGCAGCAGGAGGCATCTTGGTATTTGGAGGAATATGTTGCTTGTTTTTGGTACTGCCACCTCTGCCCAAGAAACCTTGGGAATACTGCATGAAGAAAGGAAGTAGTTCTTAAAAAAAATAAATGAAGACCGTTGGCTTTAAATTTTCTAGCCAATCAGCTGGAGACCGATCAAACATGTCCGGTTTCTCAACACTGAAGTCCTTTGCAAAATGAGGACAGTTGTTTGTTTACGTCATTGTCATTTTATGCACCTGATCCAGATTTACAGTCAGTATTCAGACTTTACAAGTTGTGGCAATTCTTGCAAAGCAATTCTTGCTTTGCTATATGGACAATCTATTTATACCCTATTTTGGACCGGATGTTTTTCCCTTTTGTAAATAAGCTTTGTAGCATCCAGAACTCTGTTAATGTATTTTACTGGGGATTGGGGAGGGCTACTGTATAGAAAACATGTTTTTTTGGTGTTATATTATATTGTGCTATTAAAGGTTATTTTTATTCTGGTGAGTGGTTGCACTGAACTTACAAAAATATATTTCATGCATTGGCATTGTAACTTTCAAATCACAAATACTGTGAAGATCCATTATGGAAAGCTGACCAAGGATGCTGTTTGCAATGGATGTTATGAGCCAATTTGTATGGAAATCACAAGGAAAAATGTATGATTTTGTGGACTGGCTATGTACTGTGCATGTCAAGAGCATAGATTGTAGATTTAAAAGCAATGCAAGCACCTCCTTTAAAATGATATCCACAATCTGATGACCCAAAAATGCTATTTAATTCTCTTTTACAGCTTTATTGCATGTATAAAATATTTTGTATCCAACTATTAAAAAAAAGTAGAAGAAACTTTATTAAATGGAATGTATACCTAAAAATCACCATGATGCAAAGTACCTATGTCAAAGGTTAAAGTGTAACTCAGAAATCAAAAAGAATGATATTCAGTTTTCTTTTAGTGTCTTGAACTAGCAAAAGTGTGCCTGTTCCAGATTGGTTAAGGGCTGGGGCTGATAGGATAGTGGTAGCTGGGCTGGTGACAGGTATGGTGTTGACAGTGGAGGAAGCCCTGATGGCATGGTCAATGGGGGAAATTAAGGGACATACCCAGTGGTCAGAGTGAGTTGGCATGCAAATGCTGTGGTTCGAGTGGGTCCTGCAGGTGTGCTGGTGGGAGTTGAAAGCAGGGGGCAGCAGAGTGTTAAGAGCGTGGATGTGTGACTGGGATTGGGATGGGGTGTATGCAGGCATGGCAGTAGTGGGGGAATTATTGCTGGCAGAGTAGTGTGAATGGGTAAAGTGGGTGTAGTACTTTCAGTGTAACTAGAAGGGTGGGTGTAGTGCATGCAAATTAGTGATAGCCGGTGGGAGTTTGATTACTGTCAGAGCAGTGAAAGTGGAGGTTGTGTAGCGCTGACAGAGTAAGGAGAGGAATGCTGCAAATTAATGGGAGAGGGGGGAGCTGGCAGAGTGGGTAGAGGGCAGCATAGGAAATATTGCTGCTAGTAGTTCTTGAAGTGCACCATTCAATCTCGCACTACTGCTCAGCAAAGCCACTTTCATAGCAGCAGCTGGAGCCAGGCACTGAGCCTTTCTCATGCATGCATGCAATAATTGGCCACTGAATTGCCTGTTTAAGACATCTCAATTATTCTCTCATGCATCACCATATTCCCAGGTGTTTTTGTGCCCCAGAAATGCACTAACAAAGCTGCCATATTTCTGGCTGTACTTTCATTTACAGCACGCGTGTCCTGCCCTGCAATCTTGCATGCGTTACCCCCTTCAGCAACTGTGCATGCACATTTTGACGGTAAGATTATGTAATGTCTTTACAGACTGGTCCCTACTGTGCAAGTTTGGGATCTCGCCATCCTACTATGTCAGAATATGGAGGGGAGATCCCGAGTATGCACACAAGTCATTGGTTTGTAGTGCCACTACTGTGAATGTGCAGATCTCTCACATTACTTTCTCATATTATCTCTCACATTACATGCATTGAGCTGGCTGTATTAGCACATACTTGGGGCATAAAACTGAGTCAAAATAAAGGTGTATGCATGAGGGATATAGGCACAACCTTAATGACACCCGCTCATGCGCCATATTGATACAGAACCAAATGGAACACATTTGCCATCTATGAGGAGTCCAATGGTGAAATTATTCTTCAGAAATTTGCCTTTCTCACTAACCATTTTAAATTCAACATTATTTACCTCTAAACTACTAACCTAATGCCTATTCTATGTTATCACCATTAAATCTGGATTGCAACCTGCAAATAAGAGGGAAACAAAAGCACACCATATTTCTTCTGTATTCTTTTTCATAATACCTATAAGATCAGATTAAATAAGCAGAGGCAATATTTTTAAAGCTGAACTCCAGGAAAATAGGTGAATACACTGATTAAATACACATAGGGGAGCTTTATTTGCCAAAAGATTGGTATTTATGTCCATACAGTCCAGAGATTTACACAGCTATGCCACGCAACACAACCCTGTCTGGCAGGATGGAAGACCTAATTTTTCTGTGCTGAAATAACACTAACAGGTCTTGTCCCTCCCCTAGCCGGTAACTGGACAATGGGAAGTAGTAGACTGATGAGTTCATATCTCTCACTGTGTGATTTCCTTCTATCCCCACGCTCCTTCTTTGCACACGAGCTCTGCAGCACAATTGGCTGACAAATTCAGGTTCTAACACTGCTGCAATTTGAAATACATTTACTGATGTACTAATGAGTATAGAGCTGCAACAATGTATGTCTTTATATCTGCCTGGAGTCTAGCTGTAAATTGTATGTTAACCTAAGAATCACCATTAAAATTATAATTCAAAGCTATAAGCCTGAGAAGTACCTTTGCCAAAGGTTAAAGTGTAACTCAAAGTTTGAGGAAATGTCCAGTAATGAAAGTGACATAAACACAATCTCGTTTTCTTGTTACCTATATCTTCCATCTGTGATAAATTCCACAATTTACTCTTTTAAAGTTTATTTCCACTTTTGCAGCCAAATTTGGATAACACCGATTTTATATTTGTTACATGTTCCCATTCACATAGCATAAGCTAAAAAAAAATATTTAAAAAATGCTTGTAGTTTAGATTGCTTTTACTTTGGTTGGGGTTTTAAGGGTTAAAAAAGAACTCCAGGAAACTTGTTATTAGCCCTTGCAGTGTGGCTAACTCAGCACTGCAAACGTTAACTGCTTGTTAGTGTCTTGGGAGGAAAATAAAAAAGTTCTACACACCTGAACCTCCGGGCAGGCTTGCACTTAGACTGGTCACTGGAGCCTCTCTCTCCCTCCACTGCAGTGGTCTAAGGTCCCATAAATGATCATGTTTTATACACAGTGTATAGATGTGAGGACTACACTGCCATTGCTGCCGTGTAGAAGGAGACGGGCTGGAGGGAGCACTGTCACAGCAGGGCAGCTCTGAGGATAGGGTAAGTATAAATTATAATTATTTTTCTCCCTAGACCGAGGAGTTAACCATTCCAGTGTGGGGGTAACCCCACTGCAAGGGTTTATAATAGTTTTCCACGGAGTTCTGCTTTAACATTTCTACTTTATTCTCTTTCCTTAGGATGTTAGGAGGGGTTGTGAGGGGCTACTCCATTGTGTGTTAATACAGTTATTGAGAGAAACAAAATCCTCAATTTTCAGTCAAAAATATAAGAACAGATCACTGTGTGCTGAGAAAATTCTGGAATTAGCCATGTTGCCTACTGCAACAAAACATCACATCACAAACCTATAGAGGGGTTCTCTCAAATTTGACTGCAAAAGTGGAAATACACTTTAAGCCAGCGAAAAATGCCTTTTATCAGTTGGAAATCCATTATTCTATTTTTTAATGCACCGCAAACTGATGATCGTGCCGATAGCTGTCCTTCTGTGGCCACACTTCTCTCCTTTTCTTTCTATTTCATCAATTTACCAATGCAAATAAAAAGATAAATAACATTGTCTAGAAAGTTACTTGGCAATAAACCTCACATGCTGTTTAGAGTGCTAATGAGGCTTAAACAGTTCAGCATATATGCCTACTGGTTAACATATACAGAACATACTTTACAGTATGTCATACATATCTTTCTGCACCACTCAATCATTTATATACTAATGTAAATAAGTTACATGGTATCGCTGCATTTAATCTCAAATGTCCAAAATGAATAAAATCATACAGTGGGCATTAGATTGTGCCCTTGGACTTATTCACTTTGGCAGCTGAGCCCATACAACATGAATATCACAGTATTTGTCCACCAGGGAGCCGGGTGGCGAGTACAGTCTCCCACAGAAGGCAATGGCTGTATGTTGGTATATTTTGGTACTTGTGTACAGTTGCGTATGTCTATGAAGGTAAATCTCCAGACACAAAAAACCTGCAGCTCCATGATGGGGAAAAATACACCAATATTTGCGTTGTATGGGCTCAGCCAGGGCAGCCATCAGGGGGGGTACGGCCGATACTCATGTAAGGGGCCCGGGCAGCCTGGGGGGCCCGCCCGGGTCCCTTACATGACTATCGGCCGACGGTGAAGGGCGAGGAGGCGGAGGACTGGCCCTAGCAGAGCAGGGCCCCAGCATTGCCGCTCCAGCGGTTTCGAGACAAGCTGGGGCCCCATCAGCGATGCTGCTCGTCTGATGTCGTACTGGCCGGAAGTGACGTCACTTCTGGCCTGTCCGGCGTCAGACGAGGCCACGTGTGCAGGTAAGAGGAGCTAGGAAGGTAGGAAGGAAAGGAGGGAGGGGAGGGATGCAGCCCTGACCAGCCCACCTGAGACCCCTTCAGAGACCACCATAGACAGTCTCAGATGGGCTGTCCAGCATCTATGGTGGGCTCTGCAGGGTCACTCTCAGGTGGGTCCTGTGTCCACCGCGTCGCTAAAGTCTGCGTCCAGCGCATCACTAAGCCCGTGTCCAGCGGTGGGGGGTGGCCTAAAGCCGTGTAAGGGACCCCAAAATTTCTGACGGCTGCCCTGGGCTCAGCCACACATGTGCATGAGCCCTAAGGGGGAATCGTTTAATTATTGCAAATTCAAGAGATGATGTTTCAGTATGCACCAGTACTGCACCACTATTGTTACTGTTAAAGTATATGTAAACTTATATGTAAACCCATACTGAAATGGCATTTAGTTTGTCACATCACTACGTACTATAAACAATTGCATTTTTTAAATAAAATCATGTTTTCATATTTTGTTCATCATTTTTGAATATCAGCTCAGTTATCTCCGGCAGCCTCTTTATATCCACTCACTGTCTACATACATGCACGCACTCTAGTGAAGGCTGCATGGGAATCTCTCAACAGGGTTTCCTGATGGTCAAAATAGAGCACTATTCCTGTGCAAGTGCCCTTTGGCATTGTATGGTAGTCTCCATTAGGAGAGTGTGTGTCAGGGTGACAATGCAGGAGGAAAACCAGGAAGCAGGGACAGAGTTTCTTCACCCTATAACAGAAAGTGTCTGCAC